CTCTCTCTGTCAAGGACCTTGGAATACTCATCTCTAATGATATAAGCGCCAGAGCTCACTGTAACAGCATTGCCAAAAAGGCATTAAGAGTTGTTAACCTAATCTTACAAAGCTTCTTCTCCAGTAATATTGTACTACAAACTAGGGCATATGAAACCTTTCCTAGACCAATTCTCGAATACAGCTCATCTGTCTGGAACCTGCACTGCATATCGGACATTAATACAATTGAGCGAGTCCAGAGATATTTCACAAGAAGAGTCCTCCACTCCTCTGCTCACAACATAATACCTTATACCACGAGGCTTGAAATTTTGGGCTTAGACAACTTAGAACTATGCTGCCTTTGGTCTGACCTAAATGTGATACACAAAATTATCTTCTACAACATCCTACCTGTCAATGACTTTTTCAGCTTCAACCCCAACAATACACGAGCACACAATAGATACAAACTTAAGGTAAACCGCTCCAAACTCAATTGCAGAAAATACAACTTCAGCAACAGAGTGTTCAATGCCTGGAATGCACCATCTAACTCTGTAGTTTCTTCCCCAAACCCCCAAAACGTTAACCTTAAACTGTCTACTGTTGACCTCACCCCATTCCTAAGAGGTATGTAAGGGGTGTGCATAAACTCACCAATGTGCCTACCATCCCTGCCCTACTGTTCCCATGTATTCATATCCTTATCCTGTATTTGTAATCATGTTTATATTTATATCTGTTATCTTACATGTTTGACAAAAATAAAAAAATAAATAAAAATAAATAAACATGGGATCCCTCATGGATGGGGGAAGCTCTGGGAGGCCCTCCACCCAACTGGATCTAGAAAGAAGACATACAGTAAAAAGGTTTGCAAAGCCAGCCGAAGGAAGAACTCAGATAGATCGGGACCCAGAACCATATTCCAATGCTGAAGAGGTTTCCAAACAAGCGTCCATGCTTGGCTGATGAAACCAGGTTTGTGGGCTGGCCCTCTGCCCCAATCAGCTGGCCATCAAGACTGCAAATCTCAGCTGGCTCTTGCTAGCATTGGGGAAGTCAGCTGCCTGCATACAAAGGTGGCAGCTGGAGGAAAAGCTTCCAAAAGCTTTCCCTTGCTTAATCCCAGGAGTGGATTCAGATGGTTCAGACCAGTTCAGGCGAACTGGATGTTAATTTTAATCTGGTTCACCGAGCCGGTTGTTGCAAGGGCTGGCTGACTCTACCCACCCCACCCCTCCCCTCCCAGGAATCTCCACACAGCCCCTTTTGGATGCCAGGTAAGTACAGGGCCCACGCAGAGGCTCTGGGAGGGCAAAAAATGAGCCTACCAGAAATTCTGGAAGTCCGGAAAAGGGGCCATTTCAGGCCTCTGGAGACCAGGGGAGGCCATTTTTGCCCTCCTGGAGGCTCGAAGAAAGCCTCTGGAGCCTGGGGAGGGCAAAAAATGGACCTACTGTAAGTACCAGAAGTCCGAAAATGGGCCCATTTCCAGCCTCCAAAGGGCCTCCAAAGTTTGAGGAGGGTGAAAATGCCCCCCCCTCTGTGGTGCAGGAGGCTGAGTAGGCCACGCCACGCCCACCCAGCAACCAGGCAGAGAGCCGTTTGCTAAAATTTCTGAATCCCACCCCTGCTCAATCCCCTCCTTGAATCAGAAAGCCACATTTCTTCAATAAAGAAAACAACAACAACAGCAAGAACAAAGCTGGAGGGCACAGACTTGTTGGGCTCTCACCCTCACCCCCCCCAAAAAAATTAGGTGCTTCCAAAGGATTTAAAGCAGTGGTGGGATTTAGCTAATTTAACAACCGGTTCTCTGCCCTAATGATTTCTTCCAACAACCAGTGTGCCAAACTGCTCAGAAAGTTAACAACCGGTTCTCCCGAAGTGATGCGAACCGGCTGAATCCCATCACTGGTTTAAAGGTCAAAAACAGTGCTTTGGTCTCAGAAACTTTCTGACCAATGGCATGCACACACAAGCCTACACACACATTGCTTTAGGACCCAGTTCTGCACTACCTGATGTATCCAAATAATATTTAAATGGGAACCCCCTTAATTTAGTAATCCAGTTGGACATGAATAGACTATTTCAGTAGAAGATAGTTAGCAAAGGGATCAGTTAACTGCAAGTCAAGTCAGACTGCGGCTGGTATTCCAGACAAAGGTATTTAAAAAAAAATCCATCCCCATTATTCCCATTTGAGCCATTTTAGATTGCGATGAGTCTGCATCGCACTTTAGAGGCACAGAGACCCATTTAACACCAGTTATAAGTCTCTGGAGTGACTAATTTTCTTATACACAACATTTATGTTTTGTGTGGATTACCATTCAGCTTCCAAACATTAGTTTTAAAGCTCTGCAACCGTTTCTGAGATCCATGCATGGTAGTGGGATAGAATTTTATCTCCATTTTATTTCCTATTTGGAAATAGTTCCCTCATATTTCATATTTCAAATAAAGCAGCATCTTTTTTAGAAAAACCAATTCTACCATCCTTAATATTTCAGTGCCAGTTCTTCAGAATCTATTTTCTATCTTAAGCAATGGAATTCATGGATTTGGATCATAGAAACCCAAATCAAACCCAGAAGATTATTTCTCACAATCATCACTGCATTCTATAGAGGCCACCAAGGTAAACATCATAGCTACTCATGGACTATATTTTTTTATTGCAAATGCATAAAGTGTTCTGTGAACTCAAACAGTTGTCTGAAATGGGCAGAGTGGAACAATTCTAGCCTATTTTATTAAGGCAACATTCAAATTCATTTCTGAACATTTGCTTTTAAAATCAACACCCCTTTAAGAATATGTACATTCTCTGATAAACAAAACCTCTTGGGCAACAGAACGTTAATATGAAATATAGATGATTTTGAACTCAGTGTTTTCTTATCGGTTTTTTAGATGCGTTTGCCTGATGTCCTTTTCTAAGTAAATTTCCCTGAAGAATACTTCAAAAATTATAATCAGTGTTTAATTATTTATGTGTTTTTTTAAAAAAAATATTAAGAATCTATAAACATCTTTAGACTATTTTAAGTGGTGTGAAAGAAGCAAATGTCATAGACAATGCAATAGCAAAATAATAATAATGTATTTTTGCCAATATTAGTCAGCCAACTATATCTAATACATACTTAAAAATTTCTCATATGTACTTCATGTATATATACATCAGTGAGGGGATTCAGCCGGTTTGCACCAGTTCGGCCAAACTGGTTAACTTTTTGCGCAGTTCAGCAAACCGGCTGGTCCCACCACTGGCTGGCCCCACCCCTTTCCTCTCCCATTTCAGTCACTCCTGTCCTGGCCTGAGAAGGTAAGGGTGATGGTGGGGAAGGGAGACTTGCTCCGGATGGGGCTGGAAATCTCCACCATAGAGGATGGTACAAGAAGTGGTGCAAGGAGTAGCGCAGCCCTTGCTGGCCAAGTGAGATAATAGTGCTGTTGCAGCAAGGTGCGGTGGTGCAGGCAGACAAAGTGGTGGTGGTGATGGCCGGAGCCTTAGTGCGGGAGTGAAGTGCCCCTGTACTTGCCTTTGCACAACAACAGCATTCTGCCTTCATCGCGGTACATTTGCTCTCAAGGCAGCCCTTGCCTCCTGCCGCTTGGAGCTTGGAGCTGTAAGCCATGTCCGGGAAGCATTGCAGCGGAGAGAAGTAGCTGGGTCTGATTTTCTGGCACCTCATTTCTTGCTGGGTCTCGCTGCCCATCAGTTAGGTTTTTAAAAAGGTTTTTGCAGCAGGAAATGGTGGGCGGCTACTTCCAGCCTTTGTTGGTGCAGTTGGGCATGCCTCGGTCACTTGGGGAGGTGCTCTCTTTCCTGAGACCCTGGCCTGACGCATTTGCCATCATGGACTCATGGCCTGCCCATTGACCTGACTAATTGCTCAGCCTTATGGCTGAAGTGGCCTGCCCGCTGCTCTCGCAGCACCTTGCGTAGCTCAGTGAAATTTAGCATGCTTCACAGTGTGGGAGACGGGGTTCCCTCCTCCTCCTGGAGCCCATTATGATGCTGAGCCACAATGCAACCCTGCCCTACATGTCCCTGGCAACAGCAGCGGCATCAGCCATTTCCTGGTTGGATCAGTGGGCAGGTCATGAGGCTGCAGCCACGAACATGGCAGGCCAGTGTCTCGGTGTGGAGAGCAGGTCGCATGTCTCCCTGAGTGACCAAGGCATGCCCAACTACACCAACAAAGGCTGGAAGTAGCCACCCGCCATTTCCTGCTACAAAAATCTTTTTAAAAACCTGACTGTCGGGCAGCGAGACCCAGCAAGAGATAAAGTGCCAGAGAATAAGACCCAGACACTTCTCCACCGCAGTGCTTCCTGGCTTACAGCTCTGAGCCCGAAGCGGAGGGAGGCGAGGGCTGCCTTGAGTGCAAATATATGCGACAAAGGTGGAATGCTGTTGCTGTGCAAAGGGAAGTACAGGGGTGCTTCGTTCCTGGCAACCGGGCAACACCACCACCACTTCAGCCTGCCTGCGCCACCCCACCTTGCTGTGAGTGACATTGAGTAGGCCACACCCACTCAGTCACATGATCCCCCTGCCACACCTACCCAGCCAGTCATTAGGGAGAACCAGTTGTTAAATTACTTGAACTGCATCACTGATATACACATATAGGTAGATCTTGACTTACAACCATTCATTTAGTCGCTGTTTGAAGTTACAATTTTTTTTTTAAAATTTGATTTATATGCCACCCTTCTCCGGAGACTCAGGGCGGCTTACAGTGCGTTAAGCAATAGCCTTCATACTTTTGTATATCTTTATACAAAGTCAGCTTATTGCCCCCACAAACTGGTCCTCAATTTACCTACCTTAGAAAGGATGGAAGGCTGAGTCAACCTTAAGCCTGGTGAGATTCGATCTTACTTTAATTGCAGATAGCTGGTGTTAAATTACAGTGCTTAGTCTGTTGAGCTATCCAGGCTCCTATGGACAATGGCACTGAAAAAAGTGACTTATGACTATTTTTCACACTTACAATTTCTGCAGACATCTTATCTGTATTTCAGTGTCTCTCTAAATTACTAGCAATTTTTTTTGGTAGATTCACAGTGGTCTTTTCCACGCTAGCAATTCAGAGCATCTTCTAGAACAGGGCTGTCAAACTCATGGCCCACGGGCCAGATGCATCATTCACTGGCCACACCCATGCCCAGTTTAGTGAAGGGGGAAAACTGTAGCAATATATCACGTGATGCTGTCATGACGATGCAAGTTTGACACCCCTGTTCTAGAATCATCCAGCAGTTGTGATGCCAACAATAAAAATAATGAGGAAAGGTTTTACATCATCCCAGTGATGGCTTGGTGAAACACGGTAAGTCACAACTGCGCAAAGGACAATTAACAATTGCTCCGCATTAGAAGCTCCATGGTTTGATTCAGATAGCTTCCAAATCTTTTCAGTTCCAATTGTACAAATGTTTGACTTGAGACATGGCTGAATTCTTTGGGCATCCCTATTATAGAGCACATAAATTGGTAACATATGTATCAAAATAAATGTGATTCTATATGCTAGGAATTTAGAGATTTTTCAGTGCATTTCTGTTCTCAGAAATCAGCCTCACTGAAGAAAATAGCACTTAATCTTTGGTATAGAACTGCAACTATAATTACCCTTAATGTGGTTTAAAAGTGCAGACAAATACCATTCCTAATTGCAAAAGAAGTATATAATATACAATCAATTTAAGATTCTTTTTTTCTCATTGTACATGTGAAAATGATTGTTTTTGCACACAGGCATAAAACTTTTAAGCATGTAAAAGCATGCTTATAGCTTCAGCATTGTGAGAATAGCATTTTGGTCAGTTTATCAAAATTCCCTTTTTAATTCATAACTCTAGATGAATAAATCACTTTTTTTCAAAGAGAGAAAAATTGGAGGGATCTTGAAAGAGTATCTGTCTAATGAGAAACGAGTCTGTTTCCAAAAGAATCATATGAACAATTTATGAAAATTGAAACTTGTGCTTGGGTGCTCTAGAAAGAAATAAATCATCCGAATTCCATCTGGTGGGGACGTAAAGACTTTTGTCTTCTCAATAACCAGAAGAGCTGCAAAGCCAATATCTATATCAGGATAGAAAGTTTATGAGAGTCATAAGTTTATGAGAGTCATTATCTGATGCTGCAGCTTGAGTTTGTGTCGGTATACGACAAATAACTCTTAGCTGGTGAGTTGCAAGAAATAGAACGGCAGTCTGCAAGATAATTTCTGGATTGCAGATTCTAATTTGCATAGAATAATGTGAGTCTATTTTGGGCAAACTTGGCTTTTGGTTGTCCTTGTGGCATATTGCCCTAAATGCAATCCTATTTGCTGATCAGTACTCTTCTTATTATTGCCCTGAATTGCTGCATATGAAACAAGGCCATTGAAATAATCTACATCATTTTATCTTCATAAAACCATTGCATGAGCTCAATTAATCAAAACTATGATGAATGGTAGAGGATAATACCGATATGGACTTTAATGATTTGGAAAGCAAGAGAAGTAAATTGTAAACAGACAGAATTGACAAATGAAATAAAAAAAAAATTAAAAGTATGTTGGATGTCTAGGAAATTATAACAAATAGAAATAATAGATATGCTTAAATGTCATCTGATCTTGTTGACTGGAGTTGATGAACAGAGAAGGTGTGCGGTATATTCTTAATGATGGAAAAAGCCCTTAATGTAAATTAGTTTGTTATGGCCTATTCATCCATAGACTCTATACATCGGTGGGATGATTTCATGTTTCTCTAGTCAATTTTGTTAATCGAAGAATTATGGATGAATTGTAGGAAAATATACAACATTTTGATAGACTAAGATCCAACAACAACAACAACAACAACAAAATCTTACTTGGTGATGCTGTTTGGAAATAGTTCTAGTGCTGGAAATGGGAGGAGGAGGAGGAGGAGGAGGAGGAGGAGGAGGAGGAGGAGGAGGAGGAGGAGGAGGAATGGACCATTGGGGTATCTGAAAGACCAGATTAGGGACAGATCACAGATCACCAGGGAGAAAATCTATTCATGTGGTTTCCAGGAGTCAAAACCAACTTGATGACACACAATCCATCACATAATCAATAGAAGAAAGTGGCCCATTAAAGAGTGGAGCTGAAGCAAATGCTATAAAGTTAATATCCAACAAGAACAAATCATAAACACTGAAGAGAGTTAGAATGGTAAAGAGGGAGGTGTAGACAGTATAATTAAAAAAAATATGGATATAGCCCAATAGGGTATACCTATGTGTCTTCTGTAATATGTGTAAAGACTGTATCTGTGCCCAGTATTTGGAACATGCTACTGACTGCTCCATTTTTAACTTCTCTTCTGCAAAGATATACTGATGCAACATAAGAGAAAAAAATAAAACAGAAAAAGAATTGCTTATTGTTTTATTACATGGGGGGGGGGGAATACAGAATCTTATATGACCACCCACAATTTCTTGCAGACAATGCAAGGAACAGCCTTGTTTTAGCTTTCACTCAGTATCTCTCAAACATAAATTACAATCTCTTACTACAATCCCTGGGGGCAGGATGGCTCAGTGATTAAAGACGCTGAGCATGTCAGCGAGAAAACTGACAGCCCTGGTTCGAGACCTGAACTTGAGCGATGGGGTGAGCTCCCATTTCTTGCCTCAGCACCTGCCCACCCAGCAGTTCGAAAGCATGCGGATAATGAGTAGATAAATAGGTACCACTTTGGTGGGAAGGCAACACCATTCCATGCACGTTGGCGGGCAACCGTGCTGGCCACATGACCACAGAAGCGTCTTCAGACAATGCTGGCTTGATCTGCAAAGAAACAGAGATGAGAACTGTGCCCAAGAGTCAGACATGACTGACAAGGAAACCTTTACCTTTTATTATATCCCCAGCTTTATTAACTATTATATGAGACTTATTTAAAAGCCTAGCAATATTATTTCTCTTTAATCCTCCTGTATCTAGTTGTAGGTTCAATGTCTTTAAATGATAGATTTTACTCAAATGGTCTTTCTTGAAGAGTTGTATTATGGCTGTTTTGAGAGGCTAAATAGCTTTTGATAGTACAGAATAGCCACAGAGAGAAATAGAGAAGCATTTGTTACATCTTTTTAACAAGCAGGAATGGGAATGCTTGATTATCAAGTTCACATTTTGCAATAAAGAAAGTATTCATTGACCAAATGACTAATTGCCTAATACCATCATCTGGTATATTTTACAAGAAATAAAACTGAGCTTTCACAAATATATCTGTTGACCTTTGTTGTGTTAATAACACTTGCCTGCATAAATTATTAACTGTTACTATTGTAAATGGGAAGAGGCTAAGACGCTGAACTTGTCAATCAGAAGGTTGGCAGTTCAGCGGTTCGAATCCCTAGCACCGTGTAACGGGGTGAACTCCCGTTACTTGTCCCAGCTTCTGCCAACCTAGCAGTTCGAAAGCACGTAAAAAATTCAAGTAGAAAAATAGGACCACTTTTGGTGGGAAGGTAACAGCATTCCATGTGCCTTTGGCATTTAGTCATGGCAGCCACATGACCACAAAGACATCTTCAGAATCTTCAATTCGATTCACAGTCTGGTACTGGTAAAAAACTTAATAGTTTAAGTCCTAATCAAGGATTAAGAGCTGTTAAATCTGAGTATATAGGCAGTTCAAGTAAGGTGGGGTTTTTTTTGCAAAGTCACACTATTCAGGTCTCATAAGTTCAAAATTTCCATGTACCTAGGCAGTCCTTTCTGTATTGTTCCAAGGGCTCCTATTACTATTGGTACAATTTCTTCTTCCATAGTCACTTAACTTCAATTAGCAAATCACAATATTTTGTTATTTTTTTCTAGCTGTTTCTCTTCAAATCACCTGGTATTGCATTGTTATTATTATTGTTATTATTGTTTACATTTACAGTGCATTCAGAAAGTATTCAGAAAGACAAAACTCAATACATAAAGTGGTTTATATACACTAAAGGTCTTCTGCAGTCACGACATAAGCCTAAAACTGAAAATCAGGCTTGTCCGATGTTACATCTTTTCTATCCTGCTCTACGGAGTAGAGAGTTGGTCTCTGACAGAAAACCACTTGAAGAAACTAGAAGCATTTGAAATGTGGATTTACAGACTACTGTTATGTATAAACCGGGTTAACAAAATCACAAATGAGGAGGAGATAAGCCGCCTGGGAAAGCAAAGGGAAATCATCAAAGCCATTAAAAAGTGAAAGTTAGAATATTTTGGACATGTGATGCGACACCCAGAAAAATACGGCATCCTTCACTTAATCCTCCAGGAAAAGATTGAAGGCAAATGAGGCCCAGGCAGAAGAAGAACATCATGGCTTCAAAACCTAAGGGACTGGTTTGGACAAAACTCAGCAGCACTTTTTTATCCGGCTGTTGACAAAAATAGGATTGCCAACATGATTGCCAACGTCCGATAACGGATATGGCATAAGAAGAAGAATATACACTAGGAAAACAAGAACAATTTGCAAGCATATAAAGATACAGAGAAGCACACTGAAAGCTCTCTGTATAAAATTATTTTATCTCTATTTCCTTTTCTTGTGCAATATCCTGACTTTGCTTTGTTTTCTTTTGTCTTACCAAAGAAAATAGCATGTTGGTTATGTTTTTTATTTGTATGAATGCATGTACCTATATATTTAAAGATATATGCCTTGAACTGTGAGATAGGCAGCATATACAGTGCATTCAAAAAGTATTTTTAGATGGCTGTCCACTGACGGTCATCCAACTTACCTGATCTTGGGAGGATTTGCAAGGAAGAATGGCAGAAAAATCTCCCAATCCAGGTGTGCAAAGCTTGTATACGTCATGCTGAAAAGACTCGAGGGTGTAATTGCTGCCAAAGATGCTTCAACAAAGTACTGAGTGAAGGGTCTGAATACTTACGCCAATGTAATATTTCAGTTTTTTTCTTTTTAATAAATTTACAAACATTTTGTTATGGCCTGCCAGCAGTCTGCGCAGATTGTTGCTGATCCCGACGACGAGGAAGCTGGTGTGGTGTCGCGCCAACAGCCTGTGCAGCCGGCGCTCGAGTCGGACAACGAGGAGGCTGAAGAAGATGTGGTGCCA